TTTCAGAGAGGAAGGGAGAGGGAGAGAGAGACAGAACATCAATGATGAGAGAGAATCATTGACTGGCTGCCTCTCGCATGCCCCCCACTGGGGATCGAGCCTGCAACCCCAGGCATGTGCTGTTGGCCAGAATTGAACCTGGGACCCTTTGGTCTGTAGGCCGACGCTCTATCCACTGAGCCAAACCAGCCAGGGCTGTTTAAGGTTTTTGACACCCAACAGTTTATCTGTTTTAGGTTGTAAAATCTAATTTTCCCTTTTTTTCCTGAGCTGGTCAGTTAAATACTTATTAAGTGCCGACTCTGTGCCAAACATTGAAACTTCCAAATTTTACTGATAAAAGAGGTTAAGTAACTTGCTCAAAGTCATTCAGCAAGCATCTGTTGAATGAATGAATGAATGAATGAATGAATGAATGAATGAATGGAGAGATGAAGTTTTACTGATCCCCAGGAAGTAGCAATTCCACCCTGTGCTGCCCACCAAAGCGCACCTGAGCTTTCAGTGTCTCTGCAAGCAGAGTGCGGGGAGGAAACAAGCCTGTGGCGTCTCCTTTAAGGTCCCCAAGCAACTTGGTGCTTTTCCTTCTAGACCAGTGAACAAAGTCATGTTACTCGACTTCTCTTTGGAAAGGGAACTGCTCTCATCTTTTTTATTAATAGGAGGTATGAGCCCCCAACATTCTCAAAAAATTAATAGACGTAGCTCTGGCTGGTTGACTCAGCTGGTTGGAGCATCGTCTCATGTACCCAAAGGTTGCGAGTTTCATTCCCAATCAGGGCACATGCCTAAGTTGGGGGTTCAATCCCTGGTGGGGGCGCATGTGGAGGGCAACTGATTGATCTTCTCTCTCACATCCATGTCTTCCTCTTTCTCTCTCTCTCCCTGTCTCTCTAAAATTAATAAATATATCCTTGGGTGAAGATTTAAAAAAATTAATAGACCTAGACTATTAATACCCTGGACAGCAGCATCAGCACCACCTGGGGCTCCCTAAAAATGTGGGCCACCCCAGACCCACTGAATCAGAATCTGCACGCTCCCAAGATCCCCAGGCAATTCTTAGAGGCACATTTGAAATTGAGAAGCACCGATTTAAAATAAAGTATTTTTTGAAACTTTAGCTCCAAACAAAGTCATACATGCTTACTGTAAATGGTGAAGAAAAAGATGAAAGGATCAGATGAGTTCCCCCATAAGCTGTGGGATTTGGAGGAACATCTTAATTTTTTCCCATTCCCCATGTAACACAAGGGGCACTGAGAACGCAAACATTCGCTGTACCCACCGAGGGTCGACCAGGCTCTGGCACTGCTGATACAAAGAGAATGAGTTTAACTCTTCACAGGCTAGTTAAGTGCTTTGCCAAGAAAACACCTGGCCGTGTGCAGGCTGGATGGAGGTATTCACACAGTAAAGAACAAGAACCCCGTTTGCCTCACGAATGATCGTTGTTTCTGAAAAACATGATCAATACTCCAAGTCCTCGTTTGCTACACTCTCAGGAAACCAACTGTCTCACCTAAAAGTAATACCCACGCAGCCCTCACCATTACGCTACAGGAATCATGGGAAGTGCTTTATATACATTCTCCTGTCAGTGTTCCCAGCAAGTCCTGTGGCAGCGATGTAGCACCCCCGTTTCGCAGATGAGGAAACTGAGGCTCAAAGCATCTGAGTGATGGAACCAGACTACTCTCAGGTCTGTTTGAGAGTAAAACCCACGGGATGGGGTTTTGGCCAAGTCACTGGGGAGCTGGTGAGGGGGAGGAGTAGCTGCCTCCCCTGGGAAAATACTTTGCTTAAAAAACAGTATAACCCACGTAATATAAAATTCACCACATGTCATTTTGAAGATGGTAAAGCAAGTGAACATTCATGGAAATAAAAAGGTTCTTTTCCCTCTGAAAGGAAAGCCAAAGACGTGGTGAGCCCGGATGAGCAGGTTTCCAAGAAGCGCCGTGGTGTGGGAATGCCTACCTTGGATCCCATACAGCCGGTTGAGGCGTGACCGCCGGGCCTCGTCGGTGTAGGGGACAGCGAGCCAGGGCATCTCACTGAAGTACTGTTTGAAGGAGTCCTCTGACCTACAGAGACACACATGGAAACAAGGCTCTATTACTCCCGAGGGCACCACCGCTGGGTCCC